GTCTTCGATACGGCCGGACCGTTTGTTACCGCGTTTCAAACTTACCACAGCTATTTATACGTTTCGTGAATGGACGACGTTTGATCTTCTCCACTCTTCGATTCGTCCTCGACCTTCCGACGACGTTCGACCTTGCCTCCCCCTTTAACCTTTCGAACGGGCTGCCTCGATTATTTACCGTCCTTCGCACCCTCCGTCTACTTTTCACCCTGCATTGTTTATTAAGCTTGTTCTATGGTTTGCCGACGTCGTTGGAAGAGGGCAGTCTTTGTTTCGCCTTCGTAATTGCAAAAGACGAGACGGTAAAACAGATGTTGGGCGTGATTTTAATTACCTTGGACAGGCGGCGTTCGCGATCCTCTTTCGATAGGAGAGGCGATCCTCGAAACGTTCAAAGGTAAAGACGACTCCTTTATTCGCAACGCGGATTCTTCTCCGATAGACACCGTAAAAAAATTGCCAATTTCATTTATCTCGTAACACGAAGTTGCTTACGACCGTATCGACAAGGGGTAGATGCACTTTCCCTGCAATGCCTCGGAATCTGTTTGTTCGAGAAGAATCGTTCTTTCGGATTTCCTTCGAAAGATATCGTCGATGTTCTCCCACTCGTTTCACCCTTGAATCACGACGAAGAAAGTTTGCGAGGGGTGGCCCGTTGCATCTATGCAGCACACGGAAACAGACACGTGCTTCCGAAACAGCAAATTCCCCTGAGGGTTGCGCAGCACCCTTAAAAGAGGGAGTTATCGGCGGTCCGACACGAAAGGCGGTAGCTCTACGTAAAAAGAGGGTGGCGCGTGTTATTCTTCCTTTTTTCTCCACCTCCCCTTCGTAACGACCACGACGACGAGGACGACGACGCGCGACTACGAACAGAATGGAGACGAGTTTCTTTTTTGCTTCGATATTCTTCTGTCACGTCACCCCTGTCTCGTTCACACGATGTGCCGGCAGATCGTTACACGTGCGTTACACGCGTCGTGACCAGCCTTCGGTCTCCGTGCTGTGCCTACTTCCTCTCTTCTTTTACTTACATACCTTTGTGTACCTTGCATCCAACTCTATCAGCTTCTGTCATCTTAGTATTTTTCCTTTCTCTCTCGCCGGAAGCGATCTACTGTGCGCGTTCAAACGGTCCCCGTTCTCATCAGCGAAATCATTTTGATAAGCGACACTGATCACACCCGATAGACGCGGGAGCGAAATGGTAATTGTTTGATTGAACGATCGTGGGGATCGAACGAGTACACGCTATTTTCGCGCGTATTAGAAGACGATGAGAAGAAATTGGCGTTCGTAGACAGAACCGTTAGGTTGACGAGAAAATTTATATTTAACCGTAATCGCTCGCTTCCGAGGAGGGACGTTGATTCGGTATTTTATCGATCAATTGCAAAGTTTTCGTTGACGATCGTCGTCCGACGCGTCCAGCGAAGACGAGCTTCGAAATTCTCAAAAACGTCGAGCTAGGGACGTCAGGTGGCAGAAGGCGAAGTTTGATGGGAAACCGCAGACACCATTAAACGTAACCGTGTTGCCAGCAGGCTGGACCGCGTTAAAACTTTAAATAACCCACTGACCGCACCGTGTACACGACTTACGCTTCGAGGACAATAGCTAAAGAAGCGAAGATCAGAGTGGAAGCGTGGCAAGGCCGTATCCTTCGCGTCCTGACAGAAAAACTCATTCTTAAACGTTAATATTCCTCTGAGCTACGAATTTTTCTTTCTTCTCTCTTCTCCTTTTTGCGTTAAAGAACCGAGGCCAATCGGCTAACGAAACGCGATGGTAGTCAAAGGATAATGGTCGGACATCAATTATGTATTTGCCTTAACGCTTCGACTCTCGAGAGTCGAAAAAAACATTCTTAAGCGTTAAATGTTCGGCTTCCTACGCGATAGTAAAAATCCTGTAAACGATCGGTAATACCGTCGTCGCTGTAATGCACGGAAGTGAAAGAAATAAAAAGGAACATGCTTCTTTGTCGATCGAAAGACATCCAACGTTTACGCGTGTATCGTTTTCGGAAAAATCGTTAGCTATTTTCAACGACACCGAGACGCTACCGCTTCTTTTAACCGGCTAATCGATTAGCTTTCTCGATCCCGAACGGAACGATCGTTGCACGAGCCAGCAGATGAAGAGGAACAAAAGGAAGTCTAACGCAAGAAAGATAATAAGAGGGAACGCGAAGGGAACAGAGCAAGCACCGATGATGAACCGGTGGTAGGATCGTACAGATGGACGGACAGCAAACGCATCAATGACATGCCGTAAATCATAGTTTTACGAGCCGTCTTTATGTGGCCCTTATTCGTGGCACTCATCGGTGGAGTGGCTTGGTGATTTTTCTGTCTGACCACCCTGTGCATAGCAGCGTGCTCAGGGACGTATTCAGTGCGAGCGACGCGCAAGGGAAAAGAGGTATTTCGCGTTCGCTAGGGGCAACAATTAGCGGTGGTGGTCGTTCAACGAAAGAACATTAAAAGGTAAAACCTATTCGAACAAGATGAACGTCCTGGAAAGGCAAACGAAACTACGAGGGAGAAGTTGGTCGATGTTTTTTTCTTTTTTACCCTGGAGACTTCGTTCCGACGTCCTTTCGAATTCCTCTAGAAAGACCCAACGGGTCGGGAACGAAACCGATAGAGTGGAAATTCGTGATCGCGCCAACTCTTGACCGATCTCATTTTTTTTTTTTTTGCTATATCTTAATACGGCTTGATCTCGTAATTTGTTAAGACGCTTAATCGAAAGAGTAGCGATTTGAGGTTCGGTCGTGCAACCTTTTCCAGTAATCTCTATATACGTATGTCGAGCGAGAGGATTCGTCGAGTATTCGAAGCGACGCGATCGTCGATCCGCCCCTGGATTCGCATAAGAGCATACAGCAGGTACCCGCTGCGTAGGCGTCGCTTTACGGGTTTGCTTTTAAGTGGCCGTACTTTAATTCGAGAGTCACCTAACAGTGTCGTGCTTAACGGTGATTCAATGGTAATTAAAAAAAAAGAAGAAGATCCAAGGCTATCCGTGTGTAACTACAACACGCGGGAACGAAGGGGAGGAACGTCGAAGGACGACAAAGGTTAAGGTACGACCCTGACATTCTCGAGTCCTTGGAGACATCTAACTAACCAGAGTTAGGTCCAGGAACTTTTGGACCTTATTACGCACCAACTTCCACACGGTGAAAACTGTGTAGTTCCAATTGCAGCAGCAAAAAATCACTTTCATTTCGCGTGTCCGTAATTAATTAACTTTGAGTTCGTTCGAACGATTGGATAACGTGTTGATATAAAGAAAGATCACGATTCGAAAAGCGAATAGAACGAGTTCTCGCGTATGCTCGGCTTCGACGACGGACACCGTCAACGCTATAGAGTATACAGGGTGTTTTTATCGCGAGTTAATTGTCGGGATGTTGCGGTTATTGCACGCGGAACCGTGGAGTCGAAAGAAGTTGACGGAACGCGATATCTTTGAGAGGATCCGAAGAACCGAGAACAGGGAAAGAGGGAAGAATTTGATGGAGATGAAGAAATTAAAACAGCCGGTGACTCGGTCTTTACGACTGCTGCACGTAACGGTAAAAGATGGACGAGATTACTGAGATGGGAATAAAGAAACAGCGACGAGATGCCACGGAAATTTGTAACGCTCGTAAAGAAACCTTTTATATCCTATGATCCAGACGGCGCTTGTTCATATTTCGTTGACTCGATCAATCTCTCTACGTAGTGTCTTTGCGAAATATCTGCGCGTACAAATAGAGACGGAATGTTCGAAAAGTAACGATCATGTTCGTTTTAGTTTTGTTATACGTGGGCCTTCGTTATCGTTCGATTCTCGATGACTCTATAGCAATTTGCGATTCTCGAATAACGCTACCTATTTTCCCGTCAACTTAACGAGTAGCGTAATTGCAAAATACGTACAATCCGACGACGAAGAATCAGCTTTGTAAGCCACGATCATAACCTTTTTTAACGTACTCGTGTACGTTCGATGGACGATCGAGAAGATCGAACGCATACCACGGTGTCCAAGATACACGCGTCGAATCGATTATGCAGAACGAGAGACGTGTTCGCGTTCCTCGCGCGTTTACGCGCGTACCAGCGCGCCTCGTTGCCCGACACGATAACGTGTCCCGTCGATTTTACAATTCGACCTTACAACCCCGGGGGTTAACTATTGGTCAGCGATAACTTAACGTTCTAACGAACCTCGCCACTTTCGTTCGAGACTCTCGAGCAAGCACCGAACGTCGAGGATCTCTTAACGAGAATTTTTTTGTCGCTCGGTCTCGCTACGAGATTAACGTCGGAATTAGCGCAGATCACTTCTGCGACTCTTACAATTTCGTGTTCCTTTTCGTACTTAACAGAGGATTATTAACAAAATTACATTCGACAGTTTCATTGTACGTGTCCCGCGAAATTATTAATTTCTGAATTATCACCGATGTAGAATACAGTAATGCTTGAAAATTTAAAAAGCGAAAACTAAAACGTTTCACGATGCGGGTAATTAACGAGAACGCGTTTCGCTGAAGAGCAGGGTATAAGTATTTTCGACGCTCGTCTCGAAACCACGTTAGTCTGAAAATTCAAGAAACGTAGAGGGAAGTTTGAACGTCCCGTTGAATAGAAAATTTGAGATTCTAAAGTCGAACCGTTTATCCGGTTGCTCATCTAGGGAAACGGTCGGTGAAGAAAAATTCGTTTATTCCGCCCCCGTGCATACGTGACCGCTTCGACGAGATTGACTTCGAGACGAAGTAACGTATTGTCGGCCCTAAAATCTCCATCAACGTTGTCCTTCCGGTAATTCAGCGTTTTTCCGTGATCTGCATATTTTCCTTCTTACCGCCATGCTAAGAAAAATTTCTAGATCGACAATGTCCTAAGTGTAGCGTTGTCTTATGTAAATTTCCATTAATTCGATTCAGTATAATCGTATTCCTTTTAACCGATAACGAACGTTTGCCGCTTCAGATGTGAACCTGTGAAGGTGGAATCCTCGAGAAGCGCGAGGTCCTCGCAATGGAGGCGGGACCGAAGCAACAGCAACAGCAACAACAGCAGCCGCAGTCGCAGCAGCAGCAACAACAACCGCAGCAGCAGCAGCAGCAGCAGCAACAGCAGCAGCAGCAACAGCAACAACAGCAGCAATCGCAAAATTCGTCGCCTGCTGGAACGGGACAGACTCCTACACAGGCTACGAGTCCGCAAGGCGGGCAGACTCAAGGCCAAGCTCAAGGACAACAGAATCAAGATGCAGTTGCAGTCGCAGCTGCAACTGCGGAGGCAGGACCGGTCGAGGAAGGAGTCCTTCTCGCCAGGGTGCACGTCCCGGAGCTTTACGTCAGCAAGTGTCTTCAGTTCCCGAAGGATCAGCTGGTCTGGGACGTAAAGCAGCAATGCCTGGCATCCTTGCCCAAGGTAAGGCTTCGTTTCTTCTTCCATCGATTCTATTTCCGATCGACTACGCGCGACAATCCTTCGCGCGAACAACCTTGCAGACGGACTGGAAGAGTCCTGGAACCCGATGAATATCGAGCTTCTCTGCAATTCGTTCGCGTTCATCGCTTAATTGGCGTTCCCCGGTTACGGCAAAATCTGTTTTTACCCTTGTTCGAAACCTTCTTCGTACAAGATGATTCAGGACAAAGTTACCGGCCATGTATCGTGGGGGATAATCGGTTACGAGTTCTACCCAGAATTTGGTCGAGACGTTATTCTCGTTTCTCGAAATTGCACTCGCGCGCAAAGTATTAGCGCAAACTGCCACTCGGTGCACCGATTTTATGAAATTGCAGAGAACTCTGGCGAAACGTCGTGTATCGAGAGTAGTTCTCGAGGCGAGACGGGATCGGGCTTCCTTCGACTCTTCTTCTTCCTTTTCTTTTTTTTTTCTTTTTTTTTCCATCCGCGGTAGCTGGAGCCCCGTGGAAAGTCACGAAGCACGCAGGATTAAGAGATCTCCGGAGGATCGTTACCTCTTTCTTTCTTTTCTTCTCGAACGTCTTACTTTCTTTATCGAGATACGGGTTCACGTGTTCGAGCTTGCTCGCTCGAGAAGGAAATGCAAATCCGTCCTGCGCCGTTTCATGGCGATCTGTCCGGCTCCGCAGGATTTTCGAGATCGCGCAACAGGCACATATTAGCCGGCATCGTAATCACAAATGACAAGAACAGACACGCACACCAGTCGACTATTCCTAGACCAGACGAACAGAGCGAGAGGCCAAGAAAATACCAAAGTGCCTAGTAGTTTCTGCTTCGCGTCGGCTCTTCGTCACGCTCTGCCCATTCTATTCCCGCCTCTGTCTCTTCCTTTTTTTTTTACGTCGATCATTCGTCGCACGACGCGCCTGGAATTTTCACGCTATTGTCGCTTTAACGCGACTTTAGTCTTTCTCTTATTTGCCTCTTTACTACGAGCAATACGACGAAGAAATACCGTACAGACCGCAACAATTGGCTCGTTAACGTTTTACAATTTAACGCGACAAAATTATCCGCGGATCTGTTCGAATCTAATTGTAAGATACCCTTTCGATTAACGCTTCTATCGCTTCCCTCGACAACTTCCGCTTTAGAGAACCTGTTCCCGGAACCAGTTCGATGACGTACGACAAGGATGAAGTTGAACGATAAGGTTCGATGCAGAAGAACGTATCGAATTAACGCTGGTTGTATAACGGGTAACGTTCGATCGTTACGATACCGCGATTATCGTGCGTTTCTGCGAAATTGTCAAATTATTTCTAAGACGATTAAGTTGCTTCGACGATTTTACTTGCGCGCGACTTTGGCTCGCCTGCATCGATCCTAAAGTCGAAGAACGAGATTTGATCTATGATTGGGCAAGTATCGGCTGCAAACCGTGCGCAAAATGCCTGGATATTCGCAGCTGTAACCGACTAACCGTTGCCACAGTTACGTTCACCTGCATTCCACGCGAAGTTTCGCCTTTATTGATAATTGGCTATTCTATTAATCGGCCATGCGTGCTCGACCAGTTATTATGTCGCGGTCAAAGGACAATAAAATAGAGAAAATCGGCCCTCCGCGTCGAAATGCTTTTATCGTTTTTGATAAGCGATCGGTATTTGTAACGCCGATTAATACGTTCGCGAGAAAGCGAAATTCCTTTCGAACTCGTTTCGGAATCGATATCTCGATAGAACGCGAACAGTCATCGAACGGTTCTGAAAGATTCTCGCGGCAAAGTCACACGCCTACACACAAACATTGCGTACACGTTGTACCTTCGTGGTACTCGTACGTATACGAAGATGAAGTATATAGAGGGTGTCGACGAAAACGATCAAGACTTGTACGGCCGTAATCGATTATTTTATTCTACGAAAGTAACTTTACAACGACCGTTTCTTTTTCCTTTTCGAACACCCTGTATATACGTATATTGTATATAGATATAATTAATTAGTACTTTATGCACAGCGACACATCGAGTGTCCATCGATTCTAACCGTGTATAAATCATCTTCTGACCTGTGGTGTATTGTTGTTGTTGTTGTTGTTTTTGCTTTTGCCTCACTTGCACGGGGCGTGCGAATACACTACACCCGCCACCACCGAACCACCACCGAACCACCACTTCACCTGTGCTATCGTCTTGTTGGGGCCCGCCACTTCGAACGCACCCCCGTACTGCGTCACACGCACGCGCGAATTGACTGACAATATTAAATAAAAAAAAATAAATAAATAAATAAAAAAAAAACAAACAAAAATATACGAAAATTCGGGCCCGATCTTCACCCTTCGTCTTCGTCGTGTGTGTGTGTTGCGTCGCGGATATACCATCGGTTCTCCAACCCCTTTTCGAGCGCCTCGCAGGTGGCCACTTGGTACAGGGTACGTCTTCACTATTACTAATAGCATGCATTCACCCCGATCCTCAGCCCTTGTTCTATGCAACTACTTCGTTTTAATATTACCGACTTGTTATCCCTTTTTTTCTTTAATATCGAAATGCATTCGCGTGCGTGCATGGCAAAGGGAAACGGTTCGACGAACCATCCTCGTTAAACCGATACGAATGGCAACGATTTGCAATCCTTAAATCTGATTCGATATAACTTTTATCGTTCCTTTTTTCTTCGATTCTTGCATAGGTATCGTTGCAACTTTCGATTTCTTCTTGTTTCCATACTTTTCAATATAATCGCGTTCTTGCACGACGGACGGAAACGGTTCGACGAACCAGCCCGATTAATAATTTTCGGAACGAACAATATTCAAGGGTGGAGGATAATTTTTATATAATTTTGCAAAGACAGCGATTTGATTGTGGGGTGTTCCTATAGTAATAATTTTACAAAATTACCAAACGAAAATGAAAAAATTGTCGAAAGTTTCCGAACATCTACGATAAATCTATACTTAATTATTATATTATTCCGGTACTGGACGTTGAATTGTCAATGTTGAAGTTCACCATAATTGTAGAAAGCAGCAAATCGGCATTCCAAAGATCACGCGTTATCCTCGTGTCGGTAACTTTTTCCTCTCGGCGTCTTTACTCGAGATGGTCGCAGAATCGTACGCGAACGAGGGATGATTTCGTCGAGTCACGTCGAGTCTCGCCGTGCTTGCTCGATAAAACGCATAGCGATTCGCTGGTTCGAGTTTTCGTCGTCGAACATTCTCGAAGGAGGGGGACTAATCGATTTCGCAGACAACGAGGACGAAACGCTTTAATTAGACGGCTGTATCTTTCTCGGATCGACGATTCTTACGACGCGAGGCGCGTAGACCACGAGCCTAGAGTTATTTCGAGCCCTGGTTTTGCATGTACTTAAAGCTGCAGCTCCTGCTGGCCTTTCAACGTTCAAGTACCATAGAAGATAAGTGCATGTGTTCGGTTAAGCATACACAATTGTACATTTGCTGACCCCGTGGTTCACGTTCAAGGATCGTGTGCGATATACGTTTGTCCAGGGTCACGAAACCGCACGCAATTCCCTTACACCGAGCCTTGTCAACTTATCGAGCGTTCCTCGATGATTAACGACTCACTGTTCGACGTAATCATACCTCTTGATAACGAAACTTCACCGTCAAGTAATTGTTTCTCTAAATTTTAGATACGTAACCCTCTTGAATTCAATTGCACGTTTTTGAACACTATACCATTTTCTGCAGCGCATTTTTAAAACCGACGAATTTCGATACGATCCGTATAGTAACGCCGCGACGAGGAACTCGAAATCATCTATCGAGGCCAATCGTGTCTCGCCAGACGGGTGACTTTCGTTTTCGTCCGCTGTGACGAAGAAACCGTTTCGTCTTCGGAATCCCGTGTCGCTCGACGTATCGATCAATCCTCGTCGATGATCTTGGATTTTCCGGGGTCCGAGCTCGAGGAACATTAACCGTTTTACTTGGTTTCGAACGTGATTACGAAACACGGTACCGGCCCTCTTTGACTTCTCTCTCGCAAGGGAAAGCGTCGCTTGTCTTCGTAGATTAAATATCAAAAGTCATCGAACCGCGTTTGCCGTGATCGGAGCTGATTTGTCTGGTTGGCTCCCCTGTTGCGACCGAGAACGAATTTCACGAAACTCTGACGCACCTTTGCTATATCTGTCGTTGACGAATTCGCGTTTTCGCGCTAGAAAGCGATACGCTCGCCAGCGGTGCCACGCTTCCGGTCTGATTCAATCACTTTGCACGATTAAATTGTACAGCTGTGCGTCATACTTATTACCTAATGTATCTTTTTTTTGTTTAGTCAACGTTGAATTTGAAGTGGCAATTATCGACGACGTTCGCGATAGCCAACGCGTTACCGACGACTAATTATCGCCGGCTAACAATAATCGTAACGACGATACTGCGACGTTATTGACAGGTTATCGATGTCACGGAGGTCGTTATCATAGTGGCATACACGATCGTGTGACCAAGTATTCAGATAACGCCATACCGGAACCGATGACCGCACATTACGGTGCACCAACGCGTGTACCACAGGTATCCTCTATGGGGATCTCGGCTCGGATAAATTCACCTCGTAGGCGTAAGATCATTGTGATTCGCGATCCTGGACCGGGATCATCCTTCACTTCCGATACCATCGTTCGTTCCCTCTGTTTCTAGTCTTCTATACGGAACTCGGAACCCCCCTCGCATCGTTGGGTACGTTTGCGCTTAACAAGGTTGAAAAATTTTCAACTTGGTTTGTGCCTGTAACGCGTTCGAGCCTAAAAATAACTATAAAAGAATCTTTATAAATATTCCCGTACGACAACGACATTTTGCGAGTTATTTTAACGAGTTAGATCGTTCGGCGATAATCGAATCATTCGTCGAAATTGTATGGCAGGAAGTCTTTATCGATGATTAAAGTTATTCGGTATTTTTTCAATAACTTGAAAATGCTTTCTACTTATCGATCGGAAGTTTTG